TGAGAGTCGGTACTTAGTATTAAGCCCTATTATTTCGTATATCTTTGTTTGCTTTTTGTGAAAATTGATATTGTGATTGTATTGTTAGGAGGAAAAGATTGAATCTTTAGATCGTGAATGTTTGACTAAGTGTGATTAGGAGTTGAATGCTTGCTCGACTTGTGCTAGAGTTTGGTTTAGCTTCCTAGGGTTTTAGCTAGCATGGCAATGTTCGGTTATTTGTGTGTGATTGATCATAGAGACTCCTGCAAACTAAAATCTCTCTTTCCCCCTGGATTTCTCTCATCTTCTTGCGTGCTTTCTCTTGTTTTGTTAACTGCTTTCAATTGTTCTCAATTTCGTAAATTAGTTTAGCTTAAATTCAATCCCTCTAATTGCGAGTAGCATGTTTAGAACCTTTTCAGTTGTGTGATTTGGCGACTAGATAGTGAACGAAACTCCGAAGAGTCTTCCTTTGAGAACGACCCAAGGCCGGGTAACTCGGTCAGTGGCAAAACTAGCCGATCATCCCGGGGAGGGCCGAATTTGCCGCGGCGCACCACCCCCACTCCGGCATCGGAAAGGTGCTCAAAAGGGCTTTTGTAGACGCTCTCAAAAATTTTCGCAGGATATAAAAGAATACTCTAGAGATTTTTCTAAAAATTAAACTAAGTCCGGAATTAAACTGGTATACTTATACTGAATTGTTTTAACTCGAAAAATACTCGAATTTATACTAATAAAAATCTTGGACTCAATTATAATAATAATCAAGAATTATACTTCCTTTCGAATAGACAAAAAGCTGAAAAAATTGAGAAAACGAAGCTCGAACGATCGAACTCGTCCTCGACAAATTTGCTCAATTTGATACTATTTAACGCAGAAATTCAAACTCCTATAATAAATGCTCGAAACTCCGAAAAATGTGAAATTTGTCCGTATGGAATCGTGCTTGAATTGTCTACACGCTCCAACTCGATTCTCATTAAACCGAGGTCACACACAACCTTACGGAACCCCGCAAAACGGCTTTTTATTCTTCTATTATGTGCACTCGACTTCGAGCTTCTCAAAATAAATGCTCAAAACTTCAAAACGTGAAATAAATCTTACGAACGGCTTCTACTGTTCTCGTGCTTTCAAGAAAGCACTCCCGCTAATTTTCAGCACGCCTAACGAGGGCCGACGGTTACCCGAAGTCTAGACATAAAAATGACAATAAAATCACCGCCACTGCCATTTTTCTCTCAATTTCGGGCTACCCAAAATAAATGGTCGGGACCTCAAAATTATAAATCGATGCCACCAGCGGACTTTCCGCTTCCCGTACTTTCATAAAAGTATTTTTCGATAATAATCGACTCGGTTTTTGAGTCTGTCGGTACACCGCAAGTTGGCTAATTAACCAACTCAAAATATAATAAAAAAAAAAAATTGTTAAATTATGCTGCTGTTATAGTTCTACTTGTCCCGAAACCAGGATCCCATTTCGGGGAGGACCCAATTTTCCTTTAAAAAAAAAATTCACGACAAAACTAGTGGCGCCCCTCCGGCCATGTATGTACCGCATGAAACTGGGGAGGGCCCAACATGCGTGCTCAAAGAAAAATCTTCCAGTTCTAGCAAAATCCTGCACCCCTAGTTTAAATTTTTATTTTTTTTTGAGGGGCCGGCGCCACTCCAAACTTGTGAATAGTTTCGCCCCTGAACTCGGTTATCAATACCCAAAAATACTACAAATAACGAGCAACCAGAGATGCATGGATGAGGTCAAGTCCGGCTGCCCGACGAACTCTGTGGTACAGACGATCTCCTACAGAGAAAACCAGAAACGTATCAGAGCCGACAAAAAATTGAAACTGTAAGTCTTAATCCTAACTATAGATTATGCTTGCTATGATATATTATTCAATAGATTTGAATGTGTACAATAGCCGACGTTCCTAACATAACCCAACATAAGCTACATAAAAGCTTTTATGTGCTTAAACAATCTTCAAGAGAGTGGAATAATGAATTGTGCAGAAAGTTGTCTATAGTTGGTCTTATTCAGTCTGGTCATGACCGTTGTCTATTTACCATGCATCGTCAGGTGATATCTTGGCCATTCTAGTTTATGTTGATTATGTCCTGATCACCACCTCTAACTCTACACTGGTGGCTGATTTCAAGACCTTCTTACATGAATAGTTTATAATTAAGGATTTGGGTTTGATTAGATACTTTCTTGGAATTGAATTTGACAGAGATAAAAAGGGGATAGTTCTTTGTTAGAAAAGTATATTCTAGATCTATGAAAATGCTTAATTGTTCTGTGGCATTCACTCCTTTGCCACATTGCTGGAAAAGTATATTATAGATCTATCACGGGATATTGTATTTTCTTAGGCAGTTCACTCAATTATTGGAAGAGCAAAAAGCAACAAACGGTCTTGAAATCATCGGTTGAGGTCGGAATATCTGCCCTTGGTTCCACTGTTTATGAGCTACTTTGGATATCTTATTTAGCTAAGGAGTTTGATCTTCCACAAACCGTGTCTATACCTATTTGGTGTGATAATAATGCAACACTTCACATCACTATTAATCCAGTGTTTCATGAACGTACGAAACATTTAGAAATTGATTGTCATTTGGTTGGGGACAAGTTCAAGGTGGGCTTTATTTCACCTCGGTATATTTCTACACATCTTCAACTCACTGTTGTCGTCACCAAGCTTCTGATGGGACCACATTTTCGTGTGTTGGTTAATTTCCAAGCTGGGATGGTTCATGTTTTCCATGCCGAACATGAAGGGAGGGTATTGGAATTCATGTCAAATTAGAGGAGTTTGATCTGCATGAGTATACACATGAGGGGAGGGTATTAGAATTCATGTCAAATTAAAGGAGTTTGATCTGCATGAGTGTGCATGTGTGCAGTGATCTGTGTTCTTTCATTTTGGGCAAGAGTTCTTCTGTTGGTCACGGCCGTTTCCATTCACGTTTCTATTAGATGGGTCATGCGTGCATTTATCTTTCATGTGATACGATGTCGTTTTACAGCTGTGCATATAAACTCACAGGTTAAATACGTGAGCTTTATTATGCAACCGAACACAACAAATTCAGATTTTCCAAACATAGCTCTTCATTCCTACAATCTCTACATTTAACAAGAAACATGCCAGAACTCGTCCTGAATTCACTGTCTATACTCTTTCCGGAATCAATGTCGGCTATCACAGACTTCTCCAATTATATTTGGCCTAATCAACAGATGGTAACCA